CCCCTGTGAGCACTTGAAGATGAGGAAAGTGTCCGCCTCTCCCACAAAGCTGGAGCGTTGAAAATGTTCAAACCTGATGCAGGAGGTCGCTGCCCACACGAACATCGCCAGGAGCAGTAGGTGCGTACCTGACGCCTGACGAAGGCGCAGGAGCAGGTTTACCATCTCCCAAGGTTGCAATTCCTGCTTCTGCTGAATCGCATGGTTCAAGGGGAGCAACTTGTACGGTTGCAACAGCCAATGATCCAGCTCAAATGGGAGGGCGAAATGCTGGCGGAACCACTTCAGGGCATGGAACATGCTTGTAGCTGCTGTAGGGCCCCCGGCCGCCACGGCCTTGAAGAAAGCACTCAACTGAAGGGGTGTAGGGGCACGAACATGGAACTGATTGTCCAGCGCATAGGTCCTCCACCTTCTGAGGGCGCTCACCAGAGCAGCCGCTCGTTGAGGCGACACGCGGCTAGCCGCTGGCATAACGGTCTCCTGGAGGAGTTGGCGGCGAACGGGATCTCTCATCATGGCGCGGTCGACCCCCAATTCCGCTAAGTCGAGGAAATCTGCCACCAATAACTCAAACATCGCCTCCAGCTTGGCGTTCTTCTGCAACACCTCCTTCGCGAAAGGGTTTTGGGAGGCATCATGAAGCATAGTGGGGGCTGCCGAACCCGAGCCTGTGGAGGTCAAATGGCGGATCCTGACGCCTGAAGGTGGCACTGTGGAATCCGGGCCGGACTGGACCAGGTGAGTCGAGATGCACGACCTCCGATGATCCTCCACACGCCGTTGGGCTTTGGCACGGGTGCTGTGAGCCCGGCCTGAAGCCACCGTCCAAAAGGCCGCCACCGCGAACTCCTGGTCGGGAGGCAGAGAACCAATCTCGCTCTCCACTTCCTGCAGGAGCTCCTGGCTGCTCCCCCAAATACCAATAACATCGGTGCATGTCTGGGCGCCGACCAGGACCAACAACTCACGCAGGCCATCAGGCTTGTCTTGAAGCAGATCCTGGAGTTCCTGCTCCATTGGTTGGCCCGGCCTGAGCGCCTCACAGGGCATGGAGGATGTACTCGCGGACGGCCCGCTCGGAGATGCCAAGGTGCTCCGCGAACGTGGCAATGGGGATCGCGACCTGGGCCTCACGGAAGGGGGGAGCTCCCGCCCTTGCCCCGAAGCCTGAGAGGTGGATGGTGTCGAAGGTGTCCGGGCTGTGGGTCTCCTCGACGGCATTGTGACCAGCAGTCCACGTGATGGCGAGCTGGCTGCAGGCTCGCCCACTCTGTGCGCAGTGCCACACTGCTGACAGAGTGCGCTGGAGTCGAGCGGAGCGCTCAACAAGCAGCCCTCACACCACAATGTAGTCCAAGGCCCACAAGCCCGCGCAGAGAGCGAATCCAATCGACTCTCCGCGGGAAGGTCCAGTGGGTCCCATCGGCGGCACGGCCAAAAGAGAAAACCCCCGGACCTTCACTTGAGCCAAAATGGCATTCAAGTGAAGGTCCTAACACTTGCATGTTTCAGATCCCAAGGTGTCCCTTCCCAACCAACCATTCACCTTGGTGGATAAAAATCCATCTTAAAGGACCAGTCGAAAGCCTTCCTGCCCTTCTTGTGACCAAAATATGCCACAAGAGCTTGGTAGTAGAGGTCATAGCCTGAGAACTACCCCGATAGCACCATGACTTGCTGCCTGCACGGTGCATCATCACGGGATCACAAGGAGTTCCACGCATACCCAGTCCCACTCTCGATTGGAGCAAGCCTCCCTCGGCGAGTGGTCAGTTTCAGTTTCTTTGCATCTCAACCCGGCACACTACCGACCGACCACCAGGACGACGGAGCAAACGACCGTGTCTTCTGTCTCAAAAATCGTGGAAGCCAAGAGTTAGGAGGATCAACAGTAATTACAAACAGGCGACCTCATTTCAATCGAACCCTAAAACATCCCCAACACAACTATTCAACTATACAAAAAAAAGGGTGGTCGTTTCCCAAAAGAACCAACGGTTTTGATCTATGACCATCTGAGACCGCACCGTTTTGGTCGCTTCACTTCGCTGTTCCTCGGCTGTTCTTCGCTGTTCTCCCGCCCCCGACGTCCTGAGAAGAAGGTTCTCCAGTAGTGCATCGCAGGGAGCAGTGGAGCTGCCGGCAAACGGCTGATGCCCACAGTGGACCGGATGGACCAGCTTGGCCAAAACTCGGACCCCAAAGAGGCCCGGCGACTGGGACCCCTACAATCTCCTAATACATCTATTCATACCTAATTCCTCTTCGTCTGATTTGGAGCAGAGGCCTGGGGCCGTTTGGGCGGTCGAAAAAAAGACAGGTTCTGTGTCAAATTTGGGTGATGCAGGCATCTGATCTGGCGAACTTCATTGGTACCAAATCATATGATAGAATACCTCCAGACAAATACCTTCGCCAAGTGTTCGGCTGCATCAAGAATCTCTTTAAGTTTTGTGCTGCATTTGTGCACGTTCAATTTCTCGTATGATGTAAGTCTAATCCTCTTCCTGACCGTCTGTAATTTCAAACCTCCAGCCCTCCGGTCGTTGCTCCGCGGCGTTCCGTGAAACGCCCGCGAATTGGTTTTCGGTTGCACCCGGGGTCAGGAGGCGAGCACAGTGAGCGGTTCAGTACACCGAGACAGGAGACTCATCCAAAACATGAAGGATTACAACCCCGGTCCATGGAATTGAGGATAGGCCCCGGTCCACGTGCAACGCGACACAGAGAAGCATCTTGTTCATGCCGCACGCTTGGACATGTTTCTTTGAGGGACAGGTACTTACCATGGCCAAACAAATGAAACATTGATATTGGCTGACTTGCCCTTTTATTTTGCGTCTTGAACAAAGGCGAAGCAGGCCCTGTGTTTGAGACGAATTGATGTAGAAGATTTCATGAGATCTTTCACTTACCTTCTCAACAGAGTATATAATTAGGCCCTCTGATGCGTTGGACTGCATCGTTCACCCCTGCTACCCATGTCTCAAGTGTTCTCTCCTCATCTTGCGGGGCTCGCGCGTTCACATGCGTGTCGTCTCGTCTGGGGCCCCGATCCGATGGGGGGACGATCGGGAAAAACGTCGACAGAAGAAGACTTCCCCAAACCCAGTGGGGCGATGTCTGAGCGAGTATGGTGGATAGAGAAAGGAATGATAGATCGTATTAGGCACAACAAAGGCGAAAACACAACACCAATAATGCGCTGATGGAGTCTTCACGTCTGGCAGAACGTGCGTTCTTTCGGGTCGACTGGTTGCCCTTCCTGAGAGCCCGGTTGCTCCACCAGCACTTCAAACGGACAGCCGCCACGGCACGGAGAGAAAACCACTGCAGGGACCGGTCTCTTCAGGAGGAAAGCGACAGCCAACCGGGTGTTGTCAGGTGTTTTACACGGTGCAGCTGTGCAGCGGAATTTCGGAGCTTCTGACATCGCTCACCTGCAGGGACGGAGGCAGAATGCCACCATCTCACCGTGGCGACCCGCTGGCTTTGAGATTTATCCTCGAAGGATTTGCCGACGAAGAAAATGGATTGAACGGAGAGTTCTTCCCACTGGGTCTTCCCAAAAGCTCTTTGGCCATCGCTAGTAGGTTGGAGGCCATCGCTTCTAGGGTGGAGGCCATTGCTAGTGTGGAGTCTCAAGATTGGAGGATCACATCGATATCACTCCTGACATCGGTTTGTATTTTGATAGGGAGACACTCAACCAATGGCTTGTGGTCGACCATCGAAACGTCAAGTCTTGGGGTCGAATTGGGAGGTCTCGCTATGCGAACACACACTCGCATGGTCTGCAATGATGGGGTGTTTGTCTGGTTCCCTTGTGGTTGGCTTTCCTTCTTGGAGTCTCACAGGCTTCCCCCCTGGCAAACAAAGCCACCAAGAAATGAGGACATAGCTGAGATGCTGGAGAACCTCTCGACTGGCAAGAAAGCACCCTCCACAATGAACGCGCTGGCGTGGTGTATCTGGGAAGGGATTGGGATCGAAATACCGACGTGACATGGTATCGGCTTGGAACCATTCAGGCCATGCCCACTTCACCAAGCGCAAAGAGCTCCATCACTTGCTGACGATTTTTTTTCTTGGCAATTGCTCAGCAAAGGGACATCCTTCTGGAATCCTTGAACCATATGCACCATAAAGCATGTCTAGACATGCACGCGTCTGGCAACATGCATTGGTAAGCAAGCACGGTTCGTCCCTCGATTTCAGGTGTGTCAAGCGAACCACAGTAAGGTGGAAGAGGTTCTGACGGAAGATGGCATGAAGCTACTTGCCATCTTCCCATTCTTGCCAAACTCTACTAATTAGTAGCGATGCACCTGTTACTAATGGCGATGCCCTTGTTGCCGGTAGCTTCACCCTGTGCTTTGAGTTCGACTCTCAACAAACTCGTTGCTTTGAGTTCGACTCTCAACAAACTCGTTGGCAAATCCTTCAGCGGCCCAATCAACGCTCTTTGTCGAAGAGCGCGGCCGAAAGTGATCGCGGATTGCAGGTTGTCTGGATAGTAGACCATTTCCACCGGCCTGCTGCCAGATTGGAAAAAGGGTGAGATTCGACCACTTCTCTGACTTATCTCTAGCGATTGTCCCTATGGTGGAACTGAGACAGAGCTTGCTTGGATGTTGGAGGCATCTAAGGACAGAAAAAAGACTTTCTTGGGGACCCGAGCTGATTGGATTCCGAGTGTTTGCCGATCGCTTCTGGGCTAAGCAAACGTTGATGGCTCTACATCCTCCACTCCGGCTCGACCCGAACCGCCCAAACGCTCGACCCGAAGCGCCGCCGAAGCGCCCATCCAGTCAACCTGTCGGAAGAGCTCGCCAAAACCAAGGGCGAAGACTTTGCGAGGCTCCAACCCCGGTGGACCACTCGGTGGAGCGATGCTGAAAGCAGCTTTTTGAACTCGCTCAACACACTCGAGTGGCCAAGCCGGCGTGGGCGTGGGGTTGCGAGTGGCCAACTTGAAGCACTTTCTTCACTGGGAGACGAGACAAGAAGTGGTCCATTCATGGAAAGTGGATGAAACATGGAGAACAAAATGGAGAAAGGAAGGTGGGTCCGATCATGTCTGAACCTGCATCACCAGCTCTTTCTACATGGCATTGGCTCGCCATATCGTTGACTTCAATATACTTCAAAACAGTCACACATGTTATGCGGCCAACCACGAGTTGATAGGTGTTTTTGGCCGATGGCTGCCTATGGCCCTTGTGCTTTCTTCAATCACCCAACTCTTGGCCACTCAGCTCGAAAAGACGCGGGCCCCAACGGCTTCAAGGTGTCCTGGAGGTTGTGGTTTTCTCCATCAAGTTGTCTCTGGGCGGGTGTGCTGGGCCTAAGAACCAAGGGGCTACACACAAGATCCAATGCACAGAGATTCATCGTACAGTAGGTACCCGGATGTACCCGGTACCAGGCAAGTAAATGCCATGAACAAAATTCCTGGCGGGCGTGATGAACTGTGCACCATTTACTCAATTGCAGACCTTCCTTCAGGTCTGTTCCATCAAAGACAAAGAAGAGTTTTCTGTCAGAATGTACTCATGAAAAAGCTTTCTGCAGTCAAACCCACCGCAAAAAAGCCTCACCTCATCGATGTTAAAAACCGAAACGGATGCCGCCGCAGCGATGCCGGTGTCCAAGTCTGCGTGTTTTGGGGGAAACATGCATCAAATGCAAAGAAGAGAAGAAGCCAACAAGAAAAACCTGCAATCAACTCACCTTGAATCTCCCAACGACCACCCTTTTACAAGCTTTTGGTCGAGTGAAGTCCAAATCTTTCCACGTGCAGCACCTTTCCTTGCGCACGTCCACCAGGGTGCCTCTGGGACAGGCTTCTCGTCTTCGGTCTGTCCCAGCTCCGTCCAAGTTGTGTGGAAGAAAGAGCGGTTTGCATTCATTTGGGGACCAACACTGATCCTGATGGATTCCATCGGTCTAGTGGGACCATATAGGACCACCAACGATGGACGATGGACGAACTGTGGATCCAGTCTTGATTACCCTCCCACTCACTCAGACGGAAGTGGAAATCCACCTGTTTGTAAAGGAAAATGGTCTTGCAAGGGCCCATGTTCGGATTCCATGTTAGTGAGTCAGCTGCTTGGCTCCTTCTTCGGACTCTGTGGGACCTAAAGGCGATGCTCCTGTCCTGGCTCGCAGGGCTTCCTCCGCCGCCTCGCAGCGTTTCATTTCGCCGAAGCCGAGAGAGACGCCGCGCGCCCCGTCTCACCGCGGTGGTGACTGGGAACTGAAGTGTCAAGTGTCACATGTTGGCTGTTGTCACTTGCATTTCCGCCAGCCAAGAGGTGTGTCTCCAAGGAAAGACATCCCACATCCAACCCTTCTCTCCTCATCACACCTCTCAGCAAATCCGGTCACGCATCGGTCACGTTGACGGTCACCCCAGCTGCTTGTGCTTGTGCGTTCCTTTGGCGAAGTGGAAACCACCCTCCTCTTCAGAAGCAACCCGTGAGACTGTCTCCGTTGACTATGTTCATCAAAAAAAACAGAAAAAAGAAAAAGCACGACAAACTGGTCTGTCAATGGGATGACTGTGCGATCACAGAAAGAAATGTCATAACGTTCACTCGTCCGCCTCGAACCTCCGCATCGTGTTCACACCGTTGGAGATCGACACCGCCTTGATGTTTTCGTCCTCGACATCCACCAGGTCAAGGTCCACATCACTGGGGATCGCCACCTCGCCGCCACGATGGACGTCCGACCGTAAGGACGGTCCGATCCGGACGGACGTTCGGGTCGCGAAGGGCCTGGAGCGAGCGATCCGTCGATGGACTCGGACATCGTTGGACACCTTTGGACCCCAACGACGAGGGGTTCGCCCCAAACGACGGGGCGTCGCTCGACTTGGCGTCGCTCCACCGGGGCGTCCGCACCAAGAGTGGCAGCCACTCAGTGATGTGCCGTAGCCTCAGTCGCTCGGAAGCCACCGGTGCGACCGGTTCCGAGTCGAATGAGCGACCGGGGCTCCACCGCTGTGGGACGAAGAGCTCCCACTGCCGGGTGGAACAAGTCCACCACTTCAAAAGGGATTCTGGCTTATCAATGAATCAAAAGGGATAATAAATGGCTGTATGATGTTCTAGATCATTATATACATCTGCAGTTATATTATGTTATATTCTAGGATGATGATCTCAGACAAACATGAATACCGAGCAGGGAATAGGGAAGATGGCCGGTCTTGCCATGTCTTGCCTACGTGCGTAAATGGAAGGCAAAACACGATCAAAAGGCAGCGTCTACTCCGAGACATGGGATCCTCTTGCCGAAGCCAACGAAGCCATTGGTCCGAGCCGCTGTTTTGTGAGCTCCTCTGCCGTTGGCTTCTCCTGAAACGTTTAAAAGCCATTCTCTTCACCCCAACTCTTCACCCCAAAAAGACTACTTGGAGAGCCACTATATTGTGTATGGGATGAGAAGACCAACACTTCACTTGGAGCAGAGAGGAAGCTTTTCACACGTGTTCCATTCCATGGCAAGCGTGCGCGCTCACACCAATCAAACCAAAACACACCCCACACCGATGGTCAATTCCAAAGAATCCAGTGTCAAACCAGTCCAAACTGAACCAAGCATAGGGGCCCATGTTTTCCAAGTGTTCTCTTAACTGGCAAGGACAATATGTGTTGATCATAACATAGGCCTATAGAGGTAGATGTTCTTCACCACTTCGCTGGTTTATTGGTGATTGTAACTCGTAGAATGATATGCTGGATGTTTCGCACCCCCCAGTTTCTCGTGATCGTTTCTGGTTTCAGCAGTTCCGATGTCGGCATCCGGGGTGGACAGGCGCCCTGGTCGAAGACCGTGAGATCCAACGAGGTACAGGAGACAGACCCGGTCTCCACGTGTGCGGAGACTTCAGGAGATGGCCACAAGACATCTCGAAGTCGCAAAAAGGTCATTCTGGAGTCAGCTAGTCCTTGACATTGGTGGGGCTGGCTAGTCCTGCAAAAGCTTTAGACTTCAGGCTTCTTAAGTCCTTCATTGTGGTGGTAGGAAGCAAAACATGACCAAACCACCAAACCATACCGTTTGACCATTTGCAGGAGCCCGGAGGTTTCTCCTACGGCCACATGACGAACTCATCAAAAGCCACATCGGTGTGATTCGGAGGCACTTAAGAGTTTGATTGCACTCCGCATGCTGGAGAACACGAGGCAAAACCCCTGCAGCAAAAAGCAGTTCAAGGTGAGATGTTGTCCAATTTCTATGACAAAAGAAAGGCTCTTAGTTGCGGAACAGTGAAGTGCTTCCAACAAAAACACTTGCCACCTCCTCAGTTGAATGTCTAGATCCTCTGGTTCCCCTCCCACTTCCAGCGCCCCAGACCATGGACTTGAATGTCTTTGTGAAGACCTGACGAGGTCGACCGGCCAGTCGTTTTGGGGTTTCGGTCATCCTAAACAGGTAATAGGCCGCTTCACCCGCCGTGTCTGAGTCTGTGATTCTTGAATATGATTGATTGCTTTTCTTACTCCGATTGTATATCTAAAGAGTTCACTGCGCCTTGTTGTAAACAGCTGAATGCGATTAATATGTGCTCGTGAACGCTCTGTGAATGCATTATGACCAGCAATGCTTCCCCTTCCATCATGAGCGCGAAACTATTCCATGCACACCGAAGCGAACTGCAAACCCCGCTTCCCAAAAGATCGTCGCGCCATGCTGGTTGCCCGAACTCCGGTGCGACGAACTCAGATGTTTGCGGGAACAAGAGAAATGGCACAGGGATTCAAGGTCTATCCTCACAAGCTAGGATTCGTCCTTGGCCTGGATTTTGGATATTGGATGACAGCATTCTGGGACACATTCAAACTATGGAAGATATGGTGGTAAAGGGGTGATGTGTATTAATAACTATGTACTGCAGTATATATAATGTTGCTCTAGTTCACACCATTGCGAACATCTTCTTTGTCAGTCTCTGTTTCCGTTCCGGATGCTTGCGATGAAGGGCCCCTCATCGAAATCCATGGTGGTAGAGGGTCAATAAAGGATGATGTGGTGGTCTGGCTTCGAGTGGTCATTCGGGTTCAAGCTCCTGTGGCCATTCGGAGGGGCTTCGCGGCTTCAGAGCCCAAAGCAAAGTCTCCTGCTCCCCGATGCTCGTCCCGAACTGGCACCCATCCCTCATCAAACAGGTCTTCATGTGTCAAGCCTGCCTCGGGAGTCTTGGGGATGCTGTCGGTAGAACGAAAACCACAGACCAAGGAGCCGGCACATGAACATTCTGGCAGGCATAATCTTGAAACCACATATGAAAGTGCTACTGTTACAAAGGACACTGTCTTCCAGTCTAGTGTTAGACTCTCCCTTGGTCTACCAGAGTCTACCAGGGGTGCAATCCTTCCACTGGCCATGTGAAGAACCTTGGCCCGTAGCACCCGCACCCACATCACTGGGAGCCCAGGCAGGGCATTCCTGGCGCAAGTCATCCCTCCCTTTTTTCCGTCCGTTTTGGACCAGCCCAAAGTCCATGCCGTTGGAGCGTGGATAGTGTTCTTCTTGGCCCATGGATGCCCATGGCTTAAGTCAGCCAGTTGACTTCCGAGGGTCCAACACTTGACTTAGTGGTTTCAGAACCTGCCCACATGGAGGTCGAGGAATTCAGAAAGGGCTCGTCACAGCAGTTCCAGCAACTCTTAGTGCTCCAAACGGTTCGGGGCCGGCAGCTTGAGGTTTGCTTCACCCTATGGCTCAAACGCACTCGTGGAAGGACAAATAAACCCAAGCCTTTGGGGTCTGGGTATAGAACTCATCCGCATTCATACGTTTTTTTTCATAGAATCAAGTACTGGAGCATCAGAAAGAATCTCCCAGGGTCCCATAAGTAGAACCCCTCGCGCCAGCATTCCACACAGTGCCCCCCCGAGCTGCGCATGCCGCGAGCTGCGCCTGTTTGTTTTGGAGCTCCTGCGCCGGTGCGAAGGGCGAAGGCGGAGTCATCGGTCCGCTTTCGGCCCTCGTGTTTGATTCCAAGACAGTTTGGGGATGGTCACCGGGTAGGGGACTGGAAACGCCCAAGTCACTTAAGTCACAGCCAAAGGTCTGGGCCCCTGACAGAGAGAGAGAGAGGTTGAATGCGAGGGAAGAAGAGCACAAATGTTCGGTTGATCACAGAAACTTCTCATATCTTAGCATCCCAGTGAACTGTGTGGGGTGTAAGAGTTCGTTCAGAAAGCTACACAAGATTCCGGCAGTGCTTCGACTTCCTGAAACCACCAACGCCTTTGCGTGAACGAGTTCACGAGTCACTGACAAGTGGAAGGATGCTGACAACTACAGGAGGTCGAAAGAACGACCGAGAAAACGGGTCGGGCGGGGAGTTGACTTCCGGAGAAGAACAGCGATGGAACATAGGGATTCCAAATTGGACCAACATGTTTCATCTTCTGGACGAGTTCTATCAATTTGTTGCTTTCTAGGGGCTCCAAGGGATTCCACTTTCGACCCTGAAACCGGATCCGCCTCTGCCGCTGCCCGGCAACCAAAGCCTCGTTTCTGGGAAACGATGGAACTCGGTGGAAACGGTCGCTGGGTCGGTGGATGTGGAGGGCTGACTAAGAACCTGAAAAAACCGGTGGCTTGTCTGAAGGAGCTCTGTTGGTTGGATGTCTGAAGAAGATCTAAAAAATAGGTAGATCTATTTATATAAGTTAGATTCAGAGGTTTAAGAAGGAGGGAACATGGAACATGTGTTGAACTTCAATCGAAGAAAGCTCAAGCTCAATCCACAGTGGATGTTTCAAGAGATTGGATGCTATGTTCGACCAGGTGAACTCTTACAGGTTGAAGTTCAGGGTCTTGTTCACGGCAACCCTAGTGAAACGCACCTCCAATCCAGTCCCATTTAAAAAGGAGCTATATAAATGGCTAGCTTGCAAGCTGCACACCGACTACGTGGTAGAAGGCTGCTCCCCCCGATCGGTCCCGATCGGGCCGGCCAGGGCATGGTCCGGTGCGGTTTCATCGGCTTTAAGATATGTTCGATGTGGTCCGAAGCTTATTCAGGACCTGGGAACCATGTCCCTACAGTATTTCCACTCATCTTCCTCTAAACTGGGACAGGACTTTCAACCCTTTCACCAAATGAACATAGTATTTTTTTTGTTCCTCCGAGAGTTTTGCGCTGCTGGAACACCCCAGCTGCTCATGTTACCCGTCCCTTGATCACCGTGAAATACGCATCGAACGTGGCTTGTCAAATAGGGACCTGGTTCCTTGGCCTCGTTAACAAAGCCTTAAGCCTTGTCACCTTTGAATCCGACCGGTCTGTTACGTGAGACTAGGCAAACTCCACTCTGCAAATCAAATTGAGTTCATCAGACACGACGTCCCAAGCTGAGGAGAGACTCCGAGTTCACAAGTGTGGTACATCTGGAGCCGAGGAGGCACTGTTCAGTCCAAAGTGAGGTCCTAATAGAGGACTTCGGACTTGCCCTACTAGGAATATATACGTGTATATATATATACGTCTGGATGGCCTGCTATGTATTGTGGTTGGGAATGTAAAGAAAGAAAAGGGATGGATTGAAAGTGTCGCAAGAAGTGTGGACAGAGCCCCCTATCATTTGCAACCCAAAAACTTCAAGTATGTGCCACATGCAACCCTTAGCAAAATATCTATTGCCTTGCCAAAAAGAAAACCTCTCAGTCTTGCCCGGCCAAAGGCCCGTTGGGCTGGCACCGAGCCACGGCCCGCTTCTTCACCGAGCCACGCTCGAAGTCGGAGTCGCCGATGGAGATCAGGCTCCGCCAAGTGCCTCCAAATCCGGTGATTTCACGGATGGAGGAAACCGGGTCGGTTCGGAGGGGGAGTCCATCCAAGCAAAAGGGAATCCGGTAGCGAATCGTTACCTATCTAGTGTAGGGCCAAGGTAACCTCTTTGTGGTCAAAAAGAACAAAAAAAAACAATCTTCATGGACATCCACTGGTCAAACGCACATGGCTTCCGCACAAACCATCAACTGGTCAACTTTCGCGAACGGAGGAGGTTGCTGTCTACGGAATGGGAGGTTGCAACATGTTGCAACCGGGTTGCTGTATGTATAGTAAAGTCCAAAACAAGCACAAAAGTAAATATGCTGAAGAGCTTGCATCTGTAAAATAAACGTCCTGAAACTATCTTTTGGGGTCTTTTGGGGGACTACAGTGGGGATTACATATTCAATCATTCATCCATGACGGGTCCCTTCAAAATGTCTTGTACATCGTGAAACTCTCTGTTTGAGGACAATGATATCTTGCTTGGAATGCTGGGTCAGTCAGTTTAAGGCGTATGCTTCGTGGCTTTGCTTCATTGCTACACCAAGCGGGGCCACTTTCTGGCCACTTTCATGCATCGGCACGCTCTCTTCGCAGAAATCTGGACAAAGATTCTGTCATCCAAAGTTGACCCAAACAGTTGAAAGCGGGTTGGAAGATGGAATGAAGATGTCGAAAGCCCAGACAGTCTTCCAAGCATCTTCAAGCGTGGCTGATGTGGCCCTTACTTACCCCCGATAGTACCACCCCAGCCAACAAGGTGCCCACCTTCGCTACAGGCGGAGGTAATGGCCTGACGGTCACGGCATCACTCCCAGCTTTCATGAGCACGATCTGGTTTTCAGGCATTTTCTCGGCCATCTTCTGGGGAAAGATGTCAAATAGGACTAGGACACTGAAATCCCTGGAATATGCCAGTTGAAAACAGTTGGAAGAACAAGATATCCTTGAGAAGTATCAACTCTCAAAGAAGTGGATGTCAATCTTCACTGCCAATTTCTTTCAAATCTTATGGCGGACTTGCGCGGCAAGGCACCAAATAAAGTGTTACTAGCACAGTCCCTGCAAGTCAGTTCTGGGACCATCCAAACATCAACATGGAACCTGACATATTGCCATATCTATGCCCTGGCAAACAAAAAAGAGTAATAAATTCAAGCCACCAGCCTGGCTGGTCTTCAGGTTCCATGGAGTTTCTTTAAGATGGCTGCACAGGTTCCAACGCCCAAAGCGCTAGCTGCACAGCGTTCGGGCCCTTGTGCGCCGATTTCCGGCAGGGTCGGCGGTGTCCATGTCGGCAACACGTCGCACCGAACGAGCCCGACCAGTCCACCATAGCTCAGCCACATGTCAGTGATCACGAGCTGGGAGGACACACCCAGCGTCCAGGTCGAAGGTTCGGTCGTTTGCTCCCAAATCTCCCGGAGTTTGGGCCGCCTGAAAGATGCGATGACCCAGCCAAATCCATGAAAGAGGATCACCCAAACCCCAACCAACCGCAAAGTGGCTTGCTTTTCCGCGGTGGAACCGGACTCCGCGGCCGCCTTTTTCCTCGGCCCCGTGGGTCTACGTGGCACGGAGCGGTCTTGGCTTGGCCAGACACGTCCGGGCCCTGCAGTCGAGATCCTCTCAATCCTCTCAGGTGACGTTTGGGATGAGAGTGGCGAGGCAGGGCGAGGCTGAGAAAGAAGGGGTTGGGCTCATCCGCGAAGTGAAGCAAGCAACAAGACACTGTTGGATAGGCAGGTGCTTTTCGTTTGACCTCTGCCTGGCCAGTCCTACTATGTCCTGCTTGTCAGGCAAAACATATGGACCACCTGAGATGCACATGGCCCAGTTCGGCCTCAAAGAAAGCTATGGCTGGCGGAAAACAAGTTGATAGCTTCTAATAGCTTCTATATGCATATAAGTATGCATATATGTCATGCTTCTACCAAACGTTGCGGCTTCTAGAACCTTTCGATCAGCATCAACAGTTTTGGGGTGGTTCTGATGCCAAGGTTTGTACCATCTGCTTTGGATCGGCGATTTGATCACACGTGGCACATCATGGACCCTGTCACTATCATCGACTTTAAGCACAGAAATCGGCTTCATATGTTCCTGTACCAAGTCTACATGCAAGCTGCTCCCTTCGCCAGTCACCCTCATCCCGACGTGGTGTCCTTGGCACCTCTCACTATCCTCCCCAGCTTGGCCGCTCGTCCCCTGTCGACATCCGGCATGTGCGCCCCACATGCGAAAACGCTCTCAACCGTCGGTCCGAAATGGGTTTCACGTTTTTTCCCGTCCATCGGTCGTTGCACCGTCCCGAATTGGATGGAAACCGGCATCCACTTTGAACATATGTTGGTCGCAACTCTGGCGAGTCCGAGTCCAGCCACTAGAAGAAGCAGAGTCCGAGTCCAGCCCGACCAGTCTGTGACAAGTCTTACAACGCCAAATCGTCACTCCGGAGACATGCAAGATAAATGGAGTGTGTTAAGGCGTGTTCAGCCCGTGTATACCCACTATTCAGCCTTGCAAGGTTGAAAATGATAGAAAATGGTTCCTTTCTACGAAGGCTTCACGAAATCCACCATCCCAACCTGTTGCAATCTCAATCGCAGTGGTCCTTTGAAGGTCTGAAATCTTCTGGATTCTTGGACCCCCAACTAGGAGCGATCGGACGCTACTAGGACTCCTGGCATCGCTGACAGGAACAAGGACGCTACTAGTAGCAAAGGGCATCGCGACTCCAACGGAGCGATCGGACGCTACGCTACTCCAGAGATTCCAGTCACCGTCTTCACCCAGTCTTCACCACGGTCCGCCCCACCTGGTTCCCAAACGGCTCGCACCCACCGCTCCCCGTCGTCCCACCGCAGCACGGCCGGCGGGCCCGGGCGAAACTCGGCCCGGGAAAGCGACCGGTCCTCCTGAGAAGCCGAAGCCGAAACCGGAGAAGCCAGGCGACCTCCTTTGGGAAAAACCTGGGGACCTGAGTACTACGAAAAGCATGGGGAAAGAGATTGATCTGCAAAAGTCACGAAAAGACACGTTGCACCTGTCGCCAGCCACGACATGCCAGGCCTGATGCCCCAAGTTCCATCATGCAAGGTTCAAGAGAGGACAGCTCTGCGCTGGCACAGTCCCCATACCATCCACACCCCCAGGTAGGTCAATAGGCTGGTCTGGCTACTGGAAGAGGGACGCCAACCGTGCTCGCCTGGCCCATGCTCGCCAACCAGTGAGGCGGCGTGCTTCGATGGTGCAAAGGGCTTGCAATAAGGCCAGAAGAGGATCTGCTTGCCCGCCAGGCACGGTTGGCACAAATCAACACAAAATGAAAACGAACATGGCACTTCACCAATTCACCAATCACTTCACCAAATCATTGCACATCATCGCATTTCCATGCATGTACTCTTCGACATCACAAAATACATCAAACCCTCTAGCTTTACAGTATCCATTGTGAAGCTTCCGCCTCCTGGTATCTAATATACATGCCGGGGAGGCTACCTAAGGGAAATCCATGTGGGGGTCACCGCGGTCACTGTCGAACGTGTATAGATCGAATTAGTCTCCAAAGGCAGAAACTGGGCCGAACTCCAATAAGAACATGTAAGAACAGGTTTACACTCAACAACAGCCGAGAAGTTGGCGAGAGCCCACTAATTCTGCAACTTGTTTTTATCTCTGTGTAGACTCCCTGCGAAAGTCTCAAAGAGTGTTGCAGAAAGAACTCAAAGCCGGCTTCAGTGGCAGGGCTTGTCACTCAAATGCTCACAATGGTGTGAAAGTTCTTCAGACCGTTCACCTTCAACAGGTCTGCATCTGTGTGTCGACAGCTCGCTCATGGAGTCAAGTCCAACTCACTAAGCGTTTCTTCGTGCAAGGCCATTTGCAGTCCTCGTGCAGCTGCACAATTTTGGACTTAAACCATTTCTTGCCTCACGCGGTCCCCAATTGTGATCTCCCACCGGCAATGAGAAAAAGATTGCCTTCGTCTGAACATGACTGAAACTTCCAGCAGGTGACATCCTTGGGAACCCGGGTGGCAGGGCAGAGATTTACAAACGAACATGTCGTCGTGTGTTGCAAAGGTTTCGACTGGAGCCAAAACTGTTACAAGCGGCCAGCCACGACATGCCACATTTGTCGAAACAAACCTTCAGCCGATCTCAGCGTTCACATCTCTACTTTAATGTGTGTCCGGCCAACCGCCCTCACAGACCCTCACAGACCCTCACGTTCGAGCGGAAAAAAAAGCACAACCGGCGGCTCTGTAACACCGTGTTCCGCGACCGGCGGAGGTTTCAATTGCTTTCGTTGTTTCTTTTTGGGTCCTACTATTATTGCTACTAAGGGCTGCTTGTTGCCCAACTGCCTAGCACCCCGGGTTCCGATCCTCGCACCGCTGGCCAGTCCTGGGAGGTCTCTAAAACGACATGGCCTCCAGGAAGGATTCCTCCCAAGCTTGCGAGGCTGAAACACAGCCACAGGCGTCTGTGCCGGGACCATGGTCACCCGGGTACCCTGTGAGCCCCTTCACCGGCGGTACAGAAAGGGTTGATGCACTCCAAGATCAAACTAACATCTGCTAAGGAGCGCCGGAAAGCAGCCAACCAACCAATAAGTCAGCCAGCTGGTGGCTTTTGTCTCAGAAAAAATACCAATCGAATTGGATTTCATTCAGAAGACTGCCCCTTATCTGATACGCTTACTTGTGAATCACCATCACCAGGTCACCACGGTGTTTTTTCGTGGATCCACCACGTGAGTTCAAAAAACTGCTTAACCAAGAGGGTATCCCAGCCGGGTGCGAGGCTGAGCAAATGCTTTGGGGTGCCCAGGCGGTTGGGGCAAGATGGTGTTCCCAAAGACTTGGATGTTCATCGAAAACACACCTGCCAGGTGCAATAGAGAGTCCCTGCCCTGTGTGCTGACGATGATGACAATGAGAACAACCCCTGATTTGAAACAGTGATATTCACTACTACTGGTGTACAAATGGCTCGAGCAGCCCACCTCTCATCCGACACCTCTTCATCGCCCCTGACAGGTCCCACCCCCAAATCTGAATCACCACCCCATCACCTTCTCTTTAAAGAAGCTCGAACATGCTTGAACAACCGGGTCCCAATTTCCTGTCATATCATTTCCGGGTCCCAATTTCAGTAGACCTCTCTACCGGTCTCCCATCCTGATCATCACTTCCTCCCTCCGCGCCTTCAGCTGCCTGCAAACGACTTCGTTGCGGTGCTTCCTCCGTGCCATCCGCCGCCCAGCGGAGCCAACCGTGGCTGAAGACCCGCCCCATGCGCTGCCCATCGTGGCGGCTCCAAACGCCTTCCCGGAGGCACGGTGAGACGGCAGGCGAGGGAGGGTTGCTGTCACATGGCTGTGGGTCATAGCACCAGACCTGAGAGGGCACCACCTACGAAGGTCAAGCAGCGACCAATGGTGGACTGATCGGGCACCTCGTTCGGTGCGACCCATCCCCACACGGCTTTCTTTCCGCTCAAGAGCTCAAACAGCGGTTCGGGGTTCGGGGCATGCGCCATCCATGCGAAAGTCGTCAACTTGCACCACAGCTGGCTATCTCAATTTCTGGCACGGTACACTCCGGAAAACTAACTTAGACCCTGACAACGGCTCCCTGGAAGAGTGTTGTCCTCTACCAACCAGTGGTTTTCAGGGTCCATGGGATCGTCTTCCAGGGTGTATTCCCACTGAAAGGTTCCGAAGTCCCAGGGACGCTCCTCCTCCGCGGCGAAACGGAACAGCGGGGCAGCGCGGACCGCGGCGAGACCAGGAGCACCTACTCTCAGCTAATAAATGATCGTGAAAGTGGATGGTGCCACCTGTTTGGTATTCAGAAAATGGTGGTCCGAAATCGGGGCCCATCCAAGTAACCACAAATGGATCTCTCCAAACCTCCCAGCTCCCTCCATCCATGGTCCCTCCATCCAAATCCTCTCGGACGGCTGTCAACTGCAAGAAAAGAAGTAGCGTCCTTGCTCCTAGTAGCGATGCCCTTTGCTCCGTTCGTAGCGTCCTTGTTACTACTAGTAAGGCACTTGTTACTAGAAGCGATGCACTTGTTCCTAGTAGCGAACATCGTTTCTAATATATAAAGACTCCGATTTCCACTGCTGGCCTTGGAGGTCATCCCGATACCACTCAGTGCCGTCATCCCAGGAGATGCTCAAGGGCTTCCGAGCGTGGTGGTACTCGGCACAATAGTCCTCGCTGTGGATGATGGTACTCGCCCGCCCGAACCATCGAAAGCGACAGGGAGGGAGGTCAACTATGGTCCACCGATCTTTTGGAACCTGTGAGCTCCAGGTTTTGATAGAACCAATCATTTTCACCCTTTCACTGGTGATCAACGTGATATTTTGATCAGCCGGCGCTGGAGTTTGCCAGCGTTTCAACCGTCTCAACCATCTCAACGTGGCTCTTCCTCAACACCTCGTGCCTTCACCATGTCATGAAGGACTTCATGTCGCAACCCAGTCCCCAAGGCCGTCCTGACCCTGGTAGTTGATCGTCATCTGTGGACCAAGCACTGTGGTGCCACCATCATGCCAGTGGATCACGCCATCCTGCAGATGGCACAGTCTTTTCAGGAGCGAACATCTTGGATTGGCCAGGTTCAGCTAGAAGGGATGAAAGCATGGTGAACTTTGACACCGGAGCGCCTCTTAGGCCCGGGAAGAGGGGAATGATCTCTGACAGAGGCGGTAGTTGTACCACCAGCGTAGTGCTGGACATCCACATGATGCCATTTACCAGAGGATCCTGGAGATTGAACTAAAACATCGAAATCCATCATTCATCGTTCAATTGAGCTGATCCTGGTCTGGCCGGTCAACGACTAGCAGTTCTGTCCAGGGTGAAACGGAATAATACTTGCACCTTCCAACCACGGCATATTACAAATCCTGCTAGTTGGGAGGCCGAAATTTGGAATCAAAATCGCGACGAAAGTTAGGGACATCCACGTTGCTCGCTGCGTCACCTCTCTTGCTTGCTGGCAAAACCCTGCTTTTTGCGAGTAACACTTCCCAAGAGACAGGAAACAAACGCAGAAATGGGAGATGCGCTGGAGGGAACTCTTTCAGGACACCATGCCACTGGCAACAAAACCTTAAGTTTGACAGGATCTCAGAAATAGTTTAGCCTCTGAGGTTCTTCTTGCACTACTTTGTTGCGACTCTTTACGTGGTGTTTTTGGGTGGTGCCTAGGGGACGTCCTTACCTCACCTCAGCGGTTCATACCACCAAACACCCCGGCACCCTGGGTTTCATTGCTGCTTGCTGAGACACCGCGCGCCCGTAATACGGGTGAGTCAACGATGGTCCCAAAGAACCCTTGGGGGGCATTGCTCACCTTCAGGGCCTTTCGTCGATTGACTCGCGCGCCTGAATGAAGCACTTGAATCTTGGAACTCCATCGCAGACCTGGAAGTCGGCTCGGCGGCTCGGGGGATGTGGATGCATTTCCCTGATCTCCACCAGGGGGTGCACAAGAATGAGACTTCATGTGATTACTCTGAGTTCTGTTCAAACTTAAGAGAATGATTCATCTGAGAGATGTATTGATTGCAGTATCCTTTTCTTCTCTGGGGCACTAGCATCATGGCTTCAACAATGTGTCCACACTTCCGCGTGTGAATGGGCTCCCACATTGACATGTTGTAAGTTGTATCTAAAGTCTGAGGTGATTACTCTGTTAATTCACAATCAAACCCACTCGATCTTTGGTCTCAAAATGACCCTTCCACCTTACCACTTGGTGTTCGAGCTGTTCCACCAAAAAGAAAACAAAAAGAACGATTCGAAGTTGGTGCCCTATAAGGTCAAAGAAAGTCATCAAAAGTGGTCAGTAAGTCTTTTCCTATCCCCAAATCGGATAATTTCCTGAATGGAGGTGGAAAACCAACAAAGCTCTGAAAGCTTCCACAAAACGCACCCTTGAACATCTCCACCCGCCCCCTATTTGGACGTTCATGTCACTGAATTCTCACGCCCACATGGGGACCACTCAAAAGGTAGGACTCCAACGGCGCTCCCTCCGTGAGCGACGGCGCTCCATCGCCTCCAGCCAGGTCCCAACCACCTCCGACCTCTCAAACGGTCGCGGAACGAGGCGCACGGAGAAACGGGTGAAACAGCGATGGACGAGGGGAACCCCGCGTGGGAACACGAATATGTGTAAACAAATTGGTATGATTTCTGAGGTGTTGGTATGAAAAATATGTAACTTGGCTTGTTTTTTTTCAATGCTTTGCAGTACTCATCCTACTCCGTTCTCACCATGAGGGTGGGGGCCGTGATGGGCAGGACTTGCGTCTCCTCGGGGTGTTCTCTTCGTCTCGGTCCCACCTTTGATGTGTACCATGTGGCCCGTTTTCGGCGTTTTCGGTCTCCGAAGCGGTTCTTGCACCTCGACATGATTATTCAATCCTCAAAAAGTATCTCTAAGATTCTCGAAGTACAACAGTAACTTGAGGAGTCGGGCCGTCTCACGAACAACTCATCGATGTCGCCGTCTCTCGAAGTACAACAGTCTACGACCTTGAGGAGTCGGGGTACACGAGTCAACGACTTTGAGGAGTCGGGCCGTCGTCTCGTCTCACCAACCACGATATAATCGATGTCGCAGGACAAGCGCCCCCGGACCTGCAAGTGGGTTCTCCTGTGATTTCACCAAGGTCAGAAAACGATGGAACCCTGACTTATATAAGCCAACAAATGAATGCCACAGATCCCACGCCTCAGATCGACCACTTGCACTGTCTCGGGCGCGTTCACCGAGCAGCTGCAGGGATTCCCCATGGCGCCATCGGCACGGCTCCGCGGAGCTGCCCGCGGAGCTGCAGCGCAAATGGGATGGGATGAACCGGGCTGGAGGATGGGGTCAGATGGATTGGATCGGTCCCGGTCCGGTCGTGTCCGGTCAAGGTCTCGAGACCCCAATTGCCTTCGGAGGCCTCTGGGGACGTGCGTCGGAGGCCAAGGAGGCCAAGCTAAGATGGCGAGACGCGCGAACGAAGCTTGTAGGCGGCGAACGTGACTGCGTTCCAAAGGTGAAAAGGTGACCTGGTGACTGTGATCCAATCTCATTGTAAGTTGATCAGTTGTTCAGCTTTTTATTGAAGCCATCACGGAGAGCCTCAATGTCTTGCGGCATTGCTCATTGGAACAAGCCCTGCAGGTGCGGCAAGTCCGGTGCACGATAGTTGGCATCCAGGATCCATCTTTTGCAAGAAGCATCGTGCAATCCACCGAAAGGATTCTCAAGTATAGTGGTTTCATGGCAAACCCCTACATGTCTCTTTAGATGGGAGTCCATACAACTTTGGGGGGGGCCCTTGTGGCATCTACTCTCCATCCACCAAAATGTCCGCATGTGCGCATGTCTCAGCTCTGCGCTGCACATGCGGAAGCCTACCCTCCTTCACACGTGCAGGGCCTTCGGCTGGAAGCGTCGGGAGCATCTTCCCCAAGACCAGACTGCCCGAAAGACAAAGGGAAACGATGTGTCAAAAAAGAACCCATGAGGCAGCCTGGTGCCTAAGTGTGGTCTACATATATGTAATGTAACAAGAATACGTTCAGGGGGACTGGCTTTCAAAAAGGTCAGTTTTTTGCGTCACCCAAACTAGAGCCACTGGGCACGCCAGAGCCTAGAGATTTTGAGTGGTTGAAAGAACCTGTCAGTTTGAGAAATGTTGTCATTTTCCCATCAGCAACTGCTTCTGAACCGCAAAGAAAATGCCAAACAACTTGCATGATTGGCCTTGGGTCTCAGCTTTCTGGTCCGTTCCTTGCATGAATTCACCCACCCAAAGGAATGGGTATTTATATGTGTGACCCATGGTTTCACATAGTTTCACTTTGGTTGCTCAAAGGTCTGACCAGGGCGGCTCACCAAAGAAAAATAACACGTTCACCTCTGAACCAGGCATGACCAGCAGTCCCGGCCTCTGCTTTTAGTCTGCTGCTAAAGGATAACCTCAGCTGGTCAATCGCGAATTTGACACCCGGGTCGCCTTCGCACCAACCGCCCGGTCGTGCAAACAGCGTTTGGCACACCAACGATGGTGGAAACAAATGCTGGTGGAGCACCAGCTCCAATCCTCCAATTTGGCACTTCTGAGGCCTCCAGGGTGTTGGGTCTGACTGAGGGGTCTTCCGAGACCAATCCCATTTCATCCCCTTCTCTCCTTTCATTTAGAATGCCTCGAAAACTGAACCAATGGAGCTCTGACGTGATGACAACACGTGGCGCCACACCGGGCCCCTGAGGGCACGGACATGGACTCGCCTGGCTTCGCAGCCGAGGACTGTCTTCGTCTTCGGCCCATGTCCTACTTCTATCTTTGCAGGACTGGACAGAAGGTGTATCTTGAGACCCAGCTTCATCCCAGCTAAACAATCTATATAAGTATACGTATCTTGAGACCCTCCTTGGCGAAGATCATCTACCTTGGACCTCAGGATCACCCTCCATCAACATGATGCTCTTTAAGTTTACATGAAAACTAGTCATGTCAACTTGCTGTTCTCAAACTGATTCCTTGACTTCCCGACAACTTCAACAAAAGGGCCTCCTGAGGAGTCTTGGAAGGTGCATGTGACCTGAATGAAACTCCAATGTGTTCCTTTTTGTAAGTGAGCGAACGAAAACCTCCAAACTTAGGGTTTGGGCCTTGCAAAAGCACAGAAACGAGTTCAACAAAGGCGCACATCAAGTCTATCGACTACAATCGACTACCAACTTGAATACCTAAAGTTCTCCTGTGCCAATTGACTCTAGTCACGGAATTCATGAAGAAGCTGTTGTTGGTGCAGAACCTACCGGAACGTCCCAACCAGTTTGCCAGTTCCTCAACTCTTCGCCGTTCCAAAGCGAAAGACGAGCGACGCGATGGACGTCTGGTCGCTCCGGTTCGAGCTTCAAACCGGGGGGGCCAAAGCGACCAGGCCAACGGCAAACACCAGTTCCTATAGTGCCTGGGTTCTTGAAAAAGGACACCTTCAGGAATCCAACTGGAAAGAAATCACCTCGAATTGGATCGATTCGTTGGAATCAGCTACCACGGTATGGCGCGCACCATGCGAGGGTTTTGGGTCGCGCACCAACTCTGCTCTGCAAGGGCACCCTCTGAAGCGCGGGCCCAAACGCACCCCGCCGGCCCAAACGCCTCGTTGGGATGGGCCCTGGGCACAAATCACACGGACACCTGGGCGATGCGGGCGCGAAAACGGATGGGCCAAGGGCGGCGACACCGTAAGAAGAAGTTCCAACAAACACCCCCACTGATGTCACTCTACAATAGGAAGACCCAAGACTTCAAATTACACACCTGGCATGTGTGTTGATCCGAACATCCTGCGGCTTGGAAGTTGACCCGTGGGCCTCAACACACCCGACTCAACAACTCAACAAGTCTCATTTCTGAAGAAATCGGTAGACCTCACTACTTATAACTTATAACGAATTAATACATATTAATACTATATAAATATTTTGTCACGGTTGATAACAAAAGATAACCAAAGGACTCCCCATCTAAAGATGTTGCTCCTGGACCCTCCCGCAGCTCACAGGGAGAAAAATATGGAGTCCACCACCCCTCCGGAACGGAACGGACCGCAACGGAGATGCCGAAGTACCGTCCTGATGGCCCGGACCAAGGGAGGTCATCATCTCCTGGCCGTTGGACACTCCGCGGAGGCGGCGCCCCAGCGTGCGCCGCGCGCCCCGGGGTCAGCCTGGCTTCGTTGCGCCCAAAGCGATGCGTTTTTCCGACGTGGAGAACTACGAGGGCCAAACGATGTCGAAGTTCCCAACTATGAACCATCAAAGGAGTCGAAGTTTTGAACCATCCCTGGAAGATGTGATGGCCGCACCTGCGAGCTGCCATCCCTCATCTCTTGTCCTTGAAAAACCGAACCCCAGCGGTTGCCCAGTCGTTGTGCCGAGCCGAGTCCATTTCGGAAGGGGTGTGTAAGGGAAATCTGTCTCATCGAGCGAAAAGCTTCCAGGGTCAGACGGTCTACTCATCTTGATGAACTTCACGGTGATAGTTGAGGGTGTATAGCTGGGGGCGCTCCCCAGCAACCTTGGGAGAGGAGCAACTGTTTGAGCGGCCCAACCTTGGCATTTCGAAGCTCTTCGAATTACCGCACCACCGACACCACCGACATTGGATCTCCGGATGGATTTCGTCCTCGTCCTCGGGGCCGTTCTCCATGCTATTCGGCCAGGCACATGATTCTTTTAGAAAGTGTACAAGCAAAAGCTCTGGATTGTGGCCATCACTGTCATCACTCCTTTGCTTCGAATGATGGTGCCCCGCGGGGCTCACCTCTCCCTCTCCTGAAGCCCGGGGAAGAAGTTCCGCGACGATTCCGCCTCAGACTCTCGGCCGAGGGGACCGGACTCGTTGGCCAAGTGAAGAGCCTGTGCCATGCGACATGACATGCCATGAATGGACATGTTGTTTTGAATCCTTCATGCCATGTCTGTGGGCATTAAGACATGATAGGAAAATCCATCACCAAAGAATGCCAAAGTGGGTATTTCGCTCATGGTGTGGGGAATAGATCGAAATAGTTCCCTTAAGTTGACGCTTCCCCACGGAATCGGATGTTTTATCAGTGCTTGTGATGCAGAAGGACGGGCTGAACTGCATGGAAATTCACCCAGTGAACCTCCACCATCCCACGACCGCCGATGCGGTCAAACTGGAATGACCTCCATGACGGACGGGAGCTTTTTCGAGGGAGACCTCACGGGATTTCTCTCTGGCCCAGCATGGTCTTCCAAAAAGCAAGTGATCAAAGAATCGTCAGTAGAGAGTAATCTGAAGCACAAGTGATGGAAGACGTTAAGCCACTTCCATGATAGTCTTCATCGGGAGATACATTTGCGCAAGTAGCCTACTTGGGTTCCCAGAAGGCTGCTACTCTTATGGAACACCACCAGGAGGTCAGACCTCCTTCCGGATTGTTCTTCGAACAGTATGAGTCGACGCCTGTGCTCCACTTCGGGTCGACGCTGAGCTCCCTGGCCACCCAGGAGTCCTTGGACAAGGTCACGATCATGACCTGCATTTTCTCGTTGTTTCACATCGAGGCGAACCGCGCGTTGATGGAGTGGGAGGGAGCTTGGGTTGTCGCCTGGTAGAAAGAAAGTCCTGGTAGACTATGTCACTCACCAGTGTGTGCTGAAAAAACTGCCCAAATGCATTGGCAAAGGGATAGGTTCGGATCTCCCTCCGCAGTGTTGAAGGCCGAAGGTTTTCGCATCTTCTACCTCCAGGTGGTGCTTGCTCTCGTGTGACAGTCCGCCATAGACAACGAAAATATGAAAACATCCCCTGGTAGAAGATGTCCTGCAGAGCCATTCTATTTTGGGGAACTATATATATTTGGGTATATATATATATACACAATGCTGAGTTGAGCATCATACAGGAAAGAACCTGGATATTTAGAAAATATATTTAAACACACACTGGTAGTACATCTTTTAGCAGTTCATGTATCGTGTTCTATCAAAATATGTGTTGCATTGACACCAGCCTCGCCCAAGGATGTGGCCAGCGATAGCAGCCTGGCCACCTAAGAACAATGAGCGTGCCAGCAGGGGACTGTGGCAGTGAGTCAAACATCTGTAGCCTCTCAAACCCCAATCGTAAAGAAAAGAATGACTGCCTGTGGAACTTCTTCTGGATCCATTCCCATACTGTGAATCAGTACACAGAAGTGAAAGACATGATGGCTACATAATTCCAAGCAGAAAACCCCAGGTGGTGTTCGCAAACTCGCAGGTGTTGGCTGGATTTGGGACACACACTCAGACCCCTTCGCAAACACCTGATAGGACTTTTTCGGGGCAGGCAAGACGACGCGACACGACCCTTCGCACCGTCCTTGATTCCGGTGGTCCTTCGGTCAGATGTTGTTGTGCCGGATTCATGTTTGAACAGGTTCCATGTTTGGATTAGTCCTGTAGTTCATGCAACCCCTTTCCAAGAGCCGACCGTTTTTGAGGAAACACATGTTTGGGTCGTCTCGAGATTTGTCGGGCATCGAATCTTAAGCTGGAGATCGGCAATGTGTCCCACAACCATGTTTGGGAATGAATAATGAATCGATGTGTGCGAATTATGTCACACCCCTCCTCCTATCCAACCATGACCCAACTTCACCGACTGCAACTGCTGGGCTCCCATCGAACTCCAGTTCACGAATCGACGTGCGAAACGGGCATTCTGTTAAGGCAGCGACGGAGAGTGAAAGACATGTTGGTTTGGGACAACTATTGCACTGCAACTCCTGAGCTACCAGTGAGCCATTCCAGTGAGCCATCAGCGAGCTATTTAAGCAATGATAGGCACCAGTGAGCTATCCCATCTGTTCCTCGATATCTGCAAGCGTCGCCCGTCCCGCCAGCCCCGCGAGAACTTGCGACACTTGCGAAGAGGCACCTCTTCCCGAGATGCTTGCAATTTCTTGGCCACGAGTGCCTTCATTGCCTGCCAAATACCCAAATCGGATGTTCCAAACACAGTTTGGGTTCAAGCGTTCATACACTTACTTGGGGTCCAATTCATGATCCATCCAACTGGACTGCACTCGCTTCTCACGGGCCCACGCCTCTGGAATGTTCTGCTCCTGAGGGGGCAGAACCCAGCAAGGCAGGGCTCTCCCCAGGAAGAAACATGAAACCCCAGCCTGAACAAGAAGCCTCAATGATCAAGTTCCGGAGTCCTCCTCTAGACTTAGACCTTTGCGGCAAGGGTCACGGCTCAGTGCTGATTAAGAGTCACCAGGCAGTGTCCCAACTCCAGAAACTGCGAAGCTCCACATGTGGACCCAGCTTGAAAGAAGGAGGTCAAGCCACTAAAGTTGCCGAGCCGAAACCAGAATCCAGGTGTTTCCTCAGTTGCTGGACCCTGTGCACAAGCCGAAACCAGAATCCTGCCCCTTCTTTCCCTAGGCTTCGGCGGCAAACCCGCAGCTCCTCTAAAGGTTTCTGCAAGTCTAGGTGAAGATCACAGTAGACCTGGCACGTTTGGTGCATGTCTGACAGGGCCACACAACTAGGGAACCTATGGGAACCCAGAGTTCTTCAAAACCTCCCCCGCACCGTCAGCGCAAACCCGTGGACCCCTATCCACGGTCTGGACCAAGTCTTACTTATATACTCGCGCTTTTGCTCCACGACGAGGTGTCTTTTGCACCAACACGACGTTCGGTGTCGGGCCCCGGTGACCGGTGACCGGTGAGCGTTCTCGGATCCACACAGCACCAAGCGGCTGCTGTGCCAAGTGGTGTGCATCGCATGGGTAGCACTGAAAAAAGAATGGTGAAAAGCAACACTTACACAGATGGGGCTCGGATCTAGTCTACCACGCACGCAGATCTACTCTACCAACCTAGAATCTAGTTGAGAACCAGCAACCCACCAGAAGCACAACAAAAAATCAAAACAAACAGAGTAGCAAATCAACCACAAACCGCAGTATCCCATTTGCTGTACAAGCTCCACAACTATGTGTGTTCATACAATAACATTCTTGGATATGTACCCCTTCATCGGGCTGTGGGCATTGGGCCTTCCGCAAGCTCCTGCAGAGCGGATTCCACCCATCAGGGGTAGGTGAGGGCCTAGAGTTATTCAACCAAAACATGTTTCAATGTCTTGTTTGGAATGTCAATGCTTTATAGATTGAATAGTCAGTTCTGAGAAAATCGTTGGCTGTTAATTATGTGTTTTGTGATCGAATGATATGTTTCTCCCCAACACTGGCAACAAAGCAGCACAGCCAGCCAAGCAGCAAAGCTGACTAGCGAGCCTCTTCTTGCATTTCGTTGCCTGGTGGGGTATGTCTTCTGCGTGTCCTTTCTTTTTCATGTTCTCTTACCAGTTCTAGCTTCTGTGTCAACAGCAACGACGACAACAACCTGGGAGTCAAGCGCTAAAGTCACGGTCAAAGCAGCACGGCGCAAAGCCAACCACCCCGCCAGCAGGCCAGCCAGTCTTTTGAATCAGTCAATCTAACCTAGTGGGGTATGTCCACTGATCCCAATCTTCAGCAACCAATCTTGCCACTCCACATTGGCAAGCGAATTGCATGCTACGGTCTTGCAACTAAAGCTTTAGGCTTCCTTGTTCTTTCATTGGCACTTTCCAGCGCAACCCTGCAAGCACGCGATGAACAGTTTCTCAACCTAATCACACATGTACTTCCTCTCGCCCAAAGCAACCGCTTCCTGCCAAAAGCAACAGAAAGTCCCAACCCCAGTGCCTAGTACTAGCAAACTTGTAACCTCGCCCGTCAGCATGAGGCCACACTGGAAGCAATTGATGATGGCACATCATTTACGAAACGTCTGGAAAGAACGAGGTCACAAGTCGTGCTGCGAGCTCCACAGAGCTAGAACACGCAAAATCCTTCTACAAATCTCTTGGATGTCCCTTCTTTTCTATTTGAGAACCACTACCCAACTAGAGTCACCGATCACTTCGATCGGGACGCACAAGCCCAGAAGAAGGGAAGGCCACACCGTGGAAGGAGACCGAAAAGACCTGACCTGACAGGGCCCCGGTCCCCGGGGGCCCCCGGCGTGGGTCAAAGGGAAGAGCGTGTCATCCCAATCCAAGACGATGCCGGTCCTGCGTGCGATCGAGGGACGCGGGGTTGAAGAGGGGCCACGGCAGTCCTGAGTCCTGGTGTTTTCCCGAGATGTGTAGAAAACAGAAAGAGCCTTCCTGGTACCATCTCATCCAGCATCTCACCCAGCATCATGTCGATAGACGCCAGACCGGCGTCTTTCGCCTGCTCCACGTGTATTGGAGCTTTTTGCCGAACGAAGCTGAGCACTGTTGTGGCCCATGGTTGTCCAACGGGAGTTGCATTGCTGGTTGTCATCACCACAAAGGGTGAGTAGGTCCCACTCCCTACGACAGAAGGATTCTATTCTAACAGAAGAGGAACCTTAAAAGACAACATACAGTAGTTGATAGACCCTTGCCGACTGTTAATTACAAATAAAGTCTTTGGACACATCTGGCTTGTTGCTTAAAGTCAACCAAGGACCAAGGTTAGACATGTTGGCAATGGGCTTGAACCCTTGCGCCCGAAACCAAACTTGGCCTGCGATTGCAATGATGCTTGCTATCCGATGTTCTTACTTTGCCCCAGGCAAGAGGACAAAAGCTTCATCCTCGTGTGTAGCGATGTAGTTCTCCAGAACCTTCAAAGTGACCTCTTGGGAGTCTCTAAGTGACCTTTAAGATGGATTAAGTGATCCCATTCTGGGATCTCAAAGCTTCACTTTGAAGGTCCTGGCTATTAAGGGCTTCCGAGTCTCTCCGTCTCTCCCAAGCAAAGCCCGGGCTTTCGGTGCGACCTTGGCTCTGGCTACCACGGCTTCGCTCGTTGCCCAATCCGTTGACTGCCGCTCCCGGCCTCCTATCTTGAGGTGAATCCGCCTTCCCCTGGCCATCCGAGCGGCATCTGCCGCTGGTCGACATGCTTGGGATTGCTGGACGAAGCAAAGCAATTGCTTCCCAATCTGCAATGACTCACTCACTACCGCACCCCTGTCTCTCGTGATCATCCACCCTAGTCAAGTCGGTCATGTTGACTTTTCTCTACTTTTTTGAGCCTATGTGGACATGGTGTTATGGTGAAATCAGACTTCGGGACATGCAGATTGTAGTTCCATACCCAAGCCATTCCCCCGACCTTCACCACTGGTGCCCTGGTGGGCAGGGTCCCCTCTGGTAGCGCAACTTCCTTTCCCGTCCACGCCACAGGATGGAAAACCCCCCCCCCCCGCGTTTCCGAAAGGATGCGGAAACGGATCTTCGCGAAAGGAAATGGATGGGATACCTAGACCCTCCCGAGGCAATTGTTGTTGGCCGTAGGCTGTTGAGGCTGTTGCCGTAGACGTTCCAGGTATTCGAGTCTAGACGAAACCACGGGTTCCTCGTTGCTAGGACGCTTGGGACCCTCGTGTTGCCTCGACCCCCACCTGGGCCAAGGAGTGGTTGCAGCTGCTCGACCTGTCGTTTCGCAACCAAGTTCGTGGGGAGGTGAAAATGGTCTCTGTGATAAGTTGAGTGGTGAGTCGGTGCTTCCATTGTTTGGATGGAATGGAGATATGAATGGATCAAGTGTCATGCTTTTCACTTTCCTCCCTCCCACGTCACCATGGTTTTTTTGGAATGGGGTCGACCACCGCGCGACGAACTTCTGGAAAAGCTGAGAATCGGGAGGCTCACGAGCGCCGAATGGGTCGAGGGGGCCTCCTTCTGCTTCAGTGTCCGACTTTAAAGTGGTTGACCTTGTTCCGCCCGTTCATCTTAACACGAGAACACGAGGGAAAGCCTCCAAAAAAAAGGTGACGGCTGCAGCCTGAGTGGGCTTTGAGAGGCGGTGCCAATGCGGTGCCATAATAAACCACAAAACCTTCAAGTACCCACTGTTTCGCTGTGCCACTCTGCAACGGCAGAAGTCATCTGCTGGACCCAATGGACCCAACGGACCTGGGCCCAACGGACCAAACCGACTCGGCTCCATCAGCCCACCTTGCGCAGGTCGGCGGGCTGCCCAGGTCTGGCACGTGCACTCGATCAGTGCCGAGTAAGAGCTTCCTTAAAGGAAACCTAAACATGACTGGTTGTTGGTCAGAGACAGATCTGTGAAATACCATGTTCAGCCACATCTCATAGAAACCTACAGCCACATATCCTTCGCATACATACCCGGAAAGCATTTGACACCTGTCTTGATAGGGAGAGGCCGTATTTGAATGGTTGGTACTCCAAACTCCAATATAAGGGTGACTCAGGTTCGATGGGGGTTAACAAAACGTCATACAACCCACTGCATCGTGCTTCTTGACAACTATGCACTCTACTGTGACATCACCTCTATAAAACACTACACTCCCTGCAATAATCATGGAACTGGAAAACCACCTGTTTGTGGAGGAAAATTGTCATCCAAGGGGCCATTGTCTACTTCCACGAATATGTCATATTATTTCAGGGAGTGTAAGTACTAAGTGAAACAACCACCCACTGATGTTCAAACACATACCAAATAAGGACCTCTGCAAAATGTCTGCCGAGGAAGCATCCCTGAAAGCCTTGGGCGGGACCCATCCAAAAGGCTCAAAAACTCCGCCCACTTGGCTATCCATGGACTGATGTGTCTCAACAGGTTTGGAGACTATGATGGGGGTACAACTAACAGTACGCCAGAACGAGATCTGGAATTTCAGTTACAACAAACAATAAACTCAAAAATCGGACGACCCAAATTTGGAAGGTCATTCTTGGATGCCAGGGCAGAAGACACTGAAACAGGTGTCTGAAGACACTGTCAGGTACACCCGGACAGCCAGAGGGGGAGAGTATATTTCTTATATTCTTAGGGGAGAACTTATCAGCAATGCCTTGGGTGCTGAATTCCAATGATCTGTCTCTGCTGCAGATTGAAAGGCGATGCTCAGAAAGCACGTATGTATATATATAGGTATATAGGGCGCGCGTGCTTTTCGGGGCCCCC